ACCACACTACACTCTACACCTACTACACTACACTACACTACCACACACACACTACACCCACCTACACTACACCTACACCTACCACACTACACCTACCACACTACACCTACACCTACACCTACCCACACTACACCCACACCTACAACACTACACCTACCACACTACACAACTACTACACCTACCACACTACACCTACACCTACAACACTACACCTACTACACTACACCTACACCTACCACACACACCTACACCTACAACACTACACCTACACCTACAACACTACACCTACCACACTACACCTACCACACTACACCTACACCTACAACGCTACACCTACCACTACTACACCTACCATGCTACACCTACCACGCTACACCTACCACACTACACCCCACCACGCTACACCTACCACGCTACACACCTACCACGCTACACCTACACCTACACCTACAACACTACACCTACCATGCTACACCTACCACACTACACCTACCACGCTACACCTACCACGTTACACCTACCACGCTACACCTACCACGCTACACCTACCACGATACACCTACCACGCTACACCTACCACACTACACCTACACCTACAACACTACACCTACCACACTACACCAACCACACTACACCTACACCTACAACACTACACCTACCACGCTACACCTACACCTACAACACTACACCTACAACACTACACCTACCACGCTACATCTACACTTACAACACTACACCTACCACACTACACCTACACCTACCACACTACACCTACCACACTACACCTACACTTACTACACTACACACTACACCTACAACACTACACCTACAACACTACACCTACAAATACCACACTACACCTACAACACTACACCAACCACACTACACCTACCACACTACACCTACACCTACAACACTACACCTACAACACTACACCTACAACACTACACCTACCACACTACACCTACACCTACAACACTACACCTACAACACTACACCTACCACACTACACCTACACCTACAACACTACACCTAACACACTACACCTACACCTACAACACTACACCCTCCACACTACACCTACACCTACAACACTACACCTACAACACTACACTTGCCACAGTACACCTACCACACTACACCTACACTTACAACACTACTCCTACACCTACAACACTACACCTACCACATTACTCCTACCACACTACACCTACACCTACACCTACAACACTACACCTACCACACTACACCTACACCTACAGCACTACACCTACAACAGTACACCTACCGCACTACACCTACACCTACAACACTACACCTACCACACTACACCTACCACACTACACCTACACCTACACCTACAACACTACACCTACCACGCTACACCTACCACACTACACCTACCACACTACACCTACACCTACAACACTACACGTAACACGCTACACCTACACCTACAACACTACACCTACAACACTACACCTACCACACTACACCTACCACGCTACACCTACACCTACAACACTACACCTACAACACTACACCTACCACGCTACACCTATACCTACAACACTACACCTACCACACTACACCTACACCTACAACACTACACCTACCACACTACACCTACCACGCTACACCTACACCTACAACGCTACACCTACCACCCTTCACCTACCATGCTACACCTACCACGCTACACCTACCATGCCTACACTACACCTACTACGTTACACCTGCCACGCTACACCTACCACGCTACACCTACACCTACAACGCTACACCTACAACGCTACACCTACCACGATACACCTACCACGCTACACCTACCATGCTACACCTACCACTCTACACCTACCACGCTACACCTACCACGCTACATCTACCACGCTACACCTACCACGCTACACCTACCACGCTACACCTACCACACTACACCTACACCTACAACACTACCCCTACCACACTACACCTACCACACTACACCTACACCTACAACACTACACCTACCACGCTACACCTACACCTACAACACTACTCCTACAACACTACACCTACCACGCTACACCTACACCTACAACACTACACCTACCACACTACACCTACACCTACAACACTACACCTACCACACTACACCTACCACGCTACACCTACACCTACAACGCTACACCTACCACCTTTCACCTACCATGCTACACCTACCACGCTACACCTACCACCCTTCACCTACCATGCTACACCTACAACGCTACACCTACCACGCTACACCTACCACGCTACACCTACAACGCTACACCTACCACCCTTCACCTACCATGCTACACCTACCACGCTACATCTACCATGCTACACCTACCAAGCGACACATACCACGCTACACATGCCACGCTACACCTACCACGCTACACCTTCCACACTACACTTACCATGCAACACCTACCATTCGACACCTATCATGCTACACCTAAAACGCTACACCTACCACCCTACACCTACCACGCTACACCTACCACCCTACACCTACCACGCTACACCTACCACTCTACACCTACCATGCTACACCTACCACGTTACACCTACCATGCTACACCTACCACTACACCTACCACAGTTCACCTACCACGCTACACCTACCACCCTACACCTACCATGCTACACCTACCACGCTACACCTACCACGCTACACCTACCACCCTACACCTACCACGTTACACCTACCACGCTACACCTACCACCCTACACCTACCACGCTACACCTACCACACTACACCTACCACGCTACACCTACCACGCTACACCTACCACCCTACACCTACCACGCTACACCTACCACGCTACACCTACCACCCTACAACTACCACGCTACACCTACTACGTTACACCTACCACGCTACACCTACCACCCTACACCTACCACGCTACACCTACCACACTACACCTACCATGCTACACCTACCACGTTACACCTACCACGCTACACCTACCACCCTACACCTACCATGCTACACCTACCACGTTACACCTACCATGCTACACCTACCACAGTTCACCTACCATGCTACACCTACCACGCTACACCTACCACACTACACCTACCACGCTACACCTACCATGCTACACCTACCACCCTACACCTACCACCACCTACCACGCTACACCTACCACCCTACACCTACCACGCTAAACCTACCACCCTACACCTACCACCCTACACCTACCACCCTGCACCTACCACGCTACACCTATCACGCTACACCTACCGTGCGACACCTTCCATGGGACACCTACAACTCTGATTTAACAGAAAAAACTATGTGACGTTTTACAAGTTGATCGCTGTCTGTCGATTATTCACTGTATTAAGGAATATTGTTGACGAACGCAAAATGCCACGTCTAAGTGAAGCCAACCGTCATAAAGCCATTGGTTTGCTTGAAGCTGGCCAATCTCAACGTGCACTTGCCCGACGCATGAATGTTCACCAAAGCGCCATTTCATGGCTCTTGGAGAGATATCGCCGGCAGAATGGGGTAGCAGATGCCCCTCGTAGTGGGCGACCTCGAGCGACCACTGCGGCGCAAGATCGCTACATCCGGGTACATCACCTGCGTCATCAAACAGCTGCGGCGACCAGTACCGATCGACAAATACCCGGATTGAGGAGGGTTTCTGCACAGACCGTCAGGAACAGGTTGAGAGAGGCTGGTTTACGTGCCAGAAGACCTTATTTTGGCCCTGTGCTTCGACAACAACATCGTCGACATCGAGTTCAATGGTGCACCAACGTTCAGGCCTGGAACCTACCGAATTGGCGTAGAATCTGGTTCAGTGATGAATCACGATTTCTATTGGAACGACGCGGTGGAAGAATGCGGGTGTACAGACGTCGACGTGAACGTTTCGCCGACGCTTGCGTTCCCCAGGTGGCCAGATTCGGCCGGGGACAGTGTTATGATGTGGGGAGCGATCACCTGCCGTAGGAGAAGTGATTTGGTGATGATCCAACGGTACTCTGACGAAATCCTACGCCCACACCTCTTTCCAATCATTGATCGCCAGAGGGAGTTGTTTCAACAGGACAATGCGAGGCCCCACACAGCACGTCACACTAGAGACTTCCTCCAGAACCACAACATCAATGTGCTCCCCTGGCCCCTCAAGATCACCGGACCCGATCGAACATCTGTGGGATGCCCTGGACAGACGGGTGCGACGCCGTCACCCAGGCACTACAGGCAGAGTGGGCTGCGATTGGGCAACACGAGATTCTGAGACTTATTCGTTCGATGCCGAGGCGATGCCGTGCAGTTCTGGATGCCCACGGTGGTCACACGAGGTATTGACTTCAGCGCTACCACACGTCTCCATGTGACACTCAAACGGACATTTCTCGAATTGGTGCCAAAGACGGATAAGTCTGCATTCCCAGTGTGCAATTTCGCTATATTTCATTGACTCATAAAGCCTACGAGATGTTTCAAAATGAACATAAAAATACAGTTGAAATTCCTATATGCGTTTCTTTTTTGGGAGAGTATATTTGCGCTTGTTGAGTTCAATTCTCTGGGGTGAAATATGTCAGGGGTACATTTTCAGCTGAAGATCATTATCCTTGGACAGTTGATAGGCTTGCAGTAGTTTATATTCGAACTTTAACTCACACAGCTGGTGGTGATATCAGATATATTTTAAAATCCCATAGCATCGGCGATTACTCACTGTGTCACCAAGACAACGACAAATGATCTGGACATAGTCGCCAACGTGGCTTCAATCGTTATTTGTGATGATGATGGTGTTGTGTGGAGGGGCCGGAGTTTGTGAATGATGGGGAGGGACGTGGATGGACAGGATGAAAATGAGGGGGTACCTCGACGGTGAAGTGAGAGGATAAGGAAAAGCAGGTAGACGAAAAATAGGTATAAGGTATAGGAGAGAAGGATGAAGAGGAGAACGAAGAGGGCTGGAGTGGGGCCTGAGGATAACAAAAAGAAGCAAACATGAGAATATTGGAAGAAAGAAGGGAGGATGAGAATAAAGAGAAGGAAGAAGGGAGGGTGAGAATAATGAGAATAAAGAAGGAAGCGTGAGGATAAAGAGAAGGAAGGAGGGAGGGTGAGGATAAAGAGAAGGAAGGAGGGAGGTTGAGAATAAAGAGAAGGACGAAGGGAGGGTGAGAATAATGAGAATAAAGAAGGAGCGTGAGGATAAAGAGAAGGAAGAAGGGAGGATGAGAATAAAGAGAATGAAGAAGGGAGGGTGAGGATAAAGAGAAGGAAGGAGGGAGGGTGAGGATAAAGAGAAGGAAGAAGGATGAGGATAAAGAGAAGGACGAGAGCGGGATAAAAGAGAAGGAAGAGGGAGGGAGGTTGAAGGATAAAGAGAAGGACGAAGGGAGGGTGAGAATAAAGAGAAGGAAGAGGGAGGTTGAGGATAAAGAGAAGGAAGAAGGGAGGGTGAGGATAAAGAGAAGGAAGGAGGGAGGGTGAGGATAAAGAGAAGGAAGGAGGGAGGTTGAGGATAAAGAGAAGGAAGAAGGGAGGTTGAGGATAAAGAGAAGGACGAAGGGAGCGGGAGGATAAAGAGAAGGAAGGAGGGAGGGTGAGGAAAAAGAGAAGGAAGGAGGGAGGTTGAGGATAAAGAGAAGGACGAAGGGAGGGTGAGAATAATGAGAATAAAGAAGGGAGCGGGAGGATAAAGAGAAGGAAGGAGGGAGGGTGAGGAAAAAGAGAAGGAAGAGGGAGGTTGAGGATAAAGAGAAGGACGAAGGGAGGGTGAGAATAATGAGAATAAAGAAGGGAGCGGGAGGATAAAGAGAAGGAAGAATGGAGGATGATGAAAAGGAGAAGGAAGAGGAGGGTGAAAAGATGTTTGTTGTTTAACGCCGCATTCAGCAATATTCCAGTTATATTGCGGTAGTATGTAAATAATCGAATTTTAGATCGGAAAATCTAGTGATCAACAGCATGAGCATCAATCTACGCAATTGGGATACGATGAAATGTGTCAACCAAGTCAGAGAGTCTGACCACCAGATCCCGTTAGATTTATCACAAACATGGGTTGCTGAATACCAACTCTAACCCGGATCTTCACGGGTTGGATGCGGGAAAGAAGGATGTGAAGGAAGTATTAAGTGAGGAAGAGGACAAGGATGGTGAGAGGAAGAAGGGAAGAATGGGATAATAAAGTAGATAATGAAGAAAGGACAATGTTGACAATGAGCAACAGAGAATGTGAAGATGGATGGGGAGAAGGAGAAGTGGTGGTGAACATATGAAGGAAGGGGATAGGATGCGGTGAAGAAGGAGACGGTGAAGCAAGGGAAGGGACAAAGTTAACACTCTTGGCACGGTACACAACAGCGAACAGCCGTTACCTTGACTTAACAATCCCGCTGATACTGATATATTAGTGAGGTTTGATTTTTTTTTTTTTTTAAGGTTTTTACTTATGGTCATAAATGTCAAATCATAATTAATGTTGGGTAAAATTTTGAATGCATAACCTTGGTTAATAAACAAGAAACTCCAGAACACCCATGTGTTGCACGCCATCTTCAGCATATAAGGCCATTCCCTTACCGTCACATCATTCCCGGTGGAAGACTGGACAATGAAGGTAGGTTGTCTTTACATGTTATGACGGCTAAGATTCATTCTGTAGTATCAGGAATCCCAAGCCTAAACATTAAAGGGGGGTGAGTATAGGCTGCTTGAATTCAGAAGGGATACTGGTGCAGTGTTTCTTTGAATATATTTTTTAAATACTAATTATGTATTGCATAATGTATACGTTTCTTAAAAAAATATGTTCTGGGATTTGAGGATGAGACTATGATTCCTGATACCCACGTGCTTACAATATATACGTTTGTATTAATATAATGTTTTAGTTCTTATTCACTCAAAGAAAGTTCAGATGAATTTTAGCCATGGTCTCTAGCTTCTGATATTAATACTCAACGTTTGCTTAGCTTTACGTCTTCATGATGTTCCTAAATGAACCAACACAATTGAAATACCGCGGTTCACAATTGTTTGGTGACTCCTCTATCTACTTCGTGATGAACGAAAAGAGGCCAGCAACCATGGGCACGATTTGCATATGGTGCTGAGTGAGTGAGTTGAGTATAGACTGTTTGACTTCAGAAGGGATTAACGTGTGCAGTGTTTTGTTAAATATATTTAATGTATACGTTTCTTCAGACAGAAATGCATGTATGTTCTGGAGTTTGATGATGAAACTATGATTATTGATATTCTCGCGCTTACAATATATATGTTTGCTGTAGTATTAAGTATATTTTCTTATTCACTCAAAGAAAGTGCAGATGAATGTTAGCCAAGGTCTCCAGCTTCTAAAATCAATACTCAACATTGGCTTAGGTTTAAGTCTTCATGCTATCTTCTGTTGTTGGATATGATGAACCAATACGATTGAAATACCGCGGTTAACAATTGTTTGGTGAGCCCTTTATCTTTTTCACGATTAACGGAAAGAGGCAAGCAGCCATGGGCACGATTTGCAAATGGTGCTGATATTCTTTGTATTGACGTATTGTCCACATCATTATGAAACAACGCTACTACAATTACTAGTGAGGATTGCAGCAACCGAATACACTTATACCCCTCAGCGTCAAAGATGTAGTAGGGGATGCACAGGCGTGCTTAAAACTTCGTGAACACAACATTATGTTGAAAACGTCTTTGGTGCCAGTCAAAGTGTGATCAGCAGGACATATGGAATCGATATCAGACTTTTGGATCAGCTACCTAGCGACGCGCGGGTGGTCGACAGCGTTTCACCACGCACCCGGAAGACATGCATTCAACAAGACGACTTCACTTCACTGCTGCTCCACATTCCGATATGCCTTGTGGAACCGAAGTTCCGTAACCATTTCAACTCATACATTGCGTGTGGCATGGGACTGGTCTCCGGTCACGCATTCCAATGAACCGACGTCACAGGGAGGCACGTTTAGGATGGGCCGAGTCTGTTGTTTCAACTGACTAGGACTAGAATCCAGTGCTCTCCGCTGATCGATCGATTCTCTGACTACGCTTCGATTGGAGCGTAAACAAGGAGTCGAGTTACAAGAATCGTAAGTATGACCTTGGAAAGGGATCTCAATGTAAACAAACGTATTACACGTGATGTTCGTCTTTGATCGTAGCATCGTATATCTAAAATCAATGTATGGTACTATACAAGGGTCAAATTAATCATACAAACAAACATAATTGAAATATATAATAATAATAATGGATAGCATTTATATAGCCCAAATCTCCGCAAAGGACTCTTTGCGCTTGCTTTGTTTTTCCCTCGCTCACTGGATGTCAATCTCAACGGCACATCGTATTGTCAATCTCAACTCCCTGCGGAGTATACAACTCTTGCAGCAACTAGGCGCACCGAGTTATTGTGGCATTCCCATCCTTACGAGGTACCCATTCACAGCTGGGTGGACTGGGACACATAGTCACAGTACTTTGTCCAAGTTCACTGCACGTTGCTGTACCCGCAACTGGGCGTTTGCACGTATTTATATGGCCACCATCTGGTCATATACCAACGGATTCGTGGGTTCTGTTAAGTGCACAGGGTTGTGTACTGTACACTAGGGGTTGTGACAACACTGAAAGAGTCTGCACACAAAGTTGACGAGTTGAAGATTTTTTACACCCGGTCACAGGTGGGCTCGATCCCGTCACCTCAATCTCGCTGGATCACTAGCCTGGCGCTTTAGCTTTAGCCAGTTCGCCCACCGCGCCCCCGGCTATATATGGCTATATTTTGGTTGAATATTATAGGTGTTGCGATACTTAAACACATGTGTATATCTGGTTTGTGTGTTTCATGATCTTTGCTACTGCGAATTGGATTAATGAACACAAACGTCCACGGCTGGCAATCACCGGTTTGTCTGCCTTGATTGTAAGCTTTTTTTCACAAAACGTTTCGATTTTTCGATTCTTTCAGGAAACAACAATCGTTCTGCTTCTCCTGTTATTCTGTCATTTCTGCTACAGTCAGTCTGGGGATGGGGCTCGGTCAGGCAAACTGGGTAAGTCCGTTACAGTAGTTCAAACCTATTGAACCAATTATCTCTTGACCTACTGAAAAATTGCGTTTATTTTATGAAATACGAAACAACATTATTTTCCTCCGGTCCCGCAATGCCTGCACTGCAATCTCCGGACTACCAATCGTCAGAGTTCCATTTTGCAGAAGACGTGATGGCTGAGTTGGTTACCGGCGAACAGGTGCCTCACTCTGAAGGTGTGGGTTCGAATCCCGGATCCAACTCAACCCCCCAAACACTAGAATCTGTACTTTCTTGTTAAATTGCGACCACAAATATAGTATTTGCTACATGAGTGGATTTGTGTATTCAGAAATGATTCTTTGTTTGTGAGAAACATCCTGTTAGAAAACAATACTCCTGTTTCCTTTGCCATTCGTCTCACAAGTGCAGATGGCTATTTGTCACACAGGCAGCAGCTGACTGAGTTCTTTCTGTGGACCTGGATGGAGTTTAAATACAGTTTCGAAATCAAGGACCTTTCCGCTCACATTATTCTGATATGCAATGCTGAAAATTACATATTCATAATATGCCATGCATTTACAGAGCGCAATTCGTAATCATGATGTGTTCTGTGCACCAGCAGAAAGGTTAAGGCTGGAAATTGTAGGACTGATTAACCAAGTGAGACTTTAGCTATGATTTGAGTGAATGAGTGAGTTAAAATTTATAGTCACATCGCCAATATTTCAGCCACATTGTGACTTGAAAAGTTATAAATTAACACTAAACGCAATTAAATCATAAAAACTGTCGACAAAGGACAGTAAAATAACTAGCTTATCACAGAGAATAAAAACTAACAAGCAACCTTTAAAATTAGACAAATAATACAAACAATACAATATAAACACGGACTGGATATCACCAGTAACTTGAGGTAGATCACCATGCTAATGAGCATGTAGACTTACAGAACCTTTGCCACCTGCATGGACCCTAGCTGATTCACACAAATCCTTCAGCCGCCGGTGATTAGAGACAAATATAGATGACAAATTATAAACACACATATTCTACGACGAAAAACCCCGGTAAGTTTAAACTTACTCTAAACCATCCCTTCAGCCGCTGGCGTTTGTAGGAAAAATTTAGCCGAAATTTAAAAGAACAAAAATACTACGTTTAAAAATCTGGTAAGCTTAAATTTAACTTTGAAAGTTTTTGGGACTTACGTACCCTCTCAGGAAGACAATAATTTTACGATTCTTTAAATCCCTTTGAGGATACAGCCACTAACAATCGCAGTTGCTAATTTATACTACCATTTATAAAATAACATTTAGCTATATACAAAACATATTGTTCAATTGTTCATTTATCTAATAATTATATTTCTTTAAAAAACAAATCAATTATCAAATGATAATTTACATTATAAAGATCCTTAATTGTTTTGTTATCCCTTGTGATGGAAAAATCAATTAGGACATGCTTGACTGGGATTCTTTCATCACAAGGCATACAGAACAGAACAGAACAGAACAGAATTTTATTTCAGTAACAGGCCTCCGGCCCAAAATACATGTACATAAATTGATGATAAGTAGAGCACATATATATTTCATTTAGATTTGTGTTTCTTGTCAACAAAGTATAAAAATAGACATACATCCTTGATACTATTAACATTTTTACTCTGTAATATTGATATAAAATTAATAATTGACGGACATTTACTAAAATATTTTGATATGTACTTATTTCTGACATGAGAATATGCATCACAGATATAAAACACATGCCATTCATCTTCAACAACAAAGATACCATTTAATTTACAAAAACAGGCAATGCCTTTCATTATATGCAACATCAGTGTATCTGCCCGTTTCAACTGCTAGTTTAAAATTACAGCACCGAAATCGGGCATATATAGTTTTTAAATATTGAGGGATATCATTATTTATCAAGTAGCTCTCAACATTTAACAAAGATTTGAATTGCTTATAGTAAAGACATTTACGGTTACTGTCCAAAGATGAATACATACGAAAGGCATACGAAACGGAGGATCCTCACCTTTCACAGGTTATTATGAGTGTATCTAGTATGGCCAATACGACATCGCATAATGACCTCTTCAAATCTGGACTGACAACCCGAGTAGGTGTAACCGATATAGGGTTTTATAGATGGTATTTATTTATACCTACTTGGGTGTCCCACTTCTTCTGCATCAGATCACGGATGTAAGTTCTAATGCTAGCTTTGTAATCAGAGTATGGGATCAGAAGTGGTGTCAAAGATTTGTTGAGTGCTGCCTTAGCAGCAAGATCGGCCATTGTGTTACCAGAGATTCCAACATGGCTTGGTAACCAACAGAGGACGATGTCGCATTGGCCAGTAGCAAGATCATTATATAATTCAATAATTTCTATTAAAAGTGGATGTTTGCAAGAGAGATTTTTAATAGCATGAAGTCACGAAAGAGAGTGAGAAAAGATCATGTATTGTTCATATTTGGGGTGTCTATTAATATATAAGAGCTGTTAGTATTGCGTTAGCTATGATTTAAAAGAAGGGACAGTCGTAGCTGTTTTGATGATGTCTGAAAGACAGTTCCGTTTAGACGCGCTTTGAAACAAAAACATCTTCTTCTAAAAGTAGAAGAGTCAAATCTGTGCACAGAGAAGAGCTGATCATATTGTGAACGCATAGCTCTGTGAGGACAGCAGACTAGGATGCTGATCTTGTGAGTGGAGGGTTCTATGAGGGTAGCAGACTAAGATGTTGATCTTGTGAGTGGAGGGTTCTATGAGGGCAGCAGACTAAGATGTTGATCTTGTGAGTGGAGGGTTCTATGAGGGCAGCAGACTAAGATGTTGATCTTGTGAGTGGAGGGTTCTGTAAGGACAGCTGACTAGGATGTTGATCTTGTGAGTGGAGGGTTCTGTGAGGGCAGCAGAGTAAGAGGTTGATCTTGTGAGTGGAGGGTTCTGTGAGGGCAGCAGACTAAGATGTTGATCTTGTGAGTGGAGGGTTCTATGAGGGCAGCAGACTAAGGTGTTGATCTTGTGAGTGGATGGTTCTGTGAGGGCAGCAGAGTAAGAGGTTGATCTTGTGAGTGGAGGGTTCTGTGAGGACAGCAGACTAAGATGTTGATCTTGTGAGTGGAGGGTTCTGTGAGGGCAGCAGACTAAGAGGTTGATCTTGTGAGTGGAGGTCTCTGTAAGGACAGCTGACTAAGATGTTGATCTTGTGAGTGGAGGGTTCTATGAGGGCAGTAGACTAAGATGTTGATATTGTGATTGAAGGGTTCTGTGAGGGCAGTAGACTAAGAGGTTGATCTTGTGAGTGGAGGGTTCTGTAAGGACAGCAGACTAGGATGTTGATCTTGTGAGTGGAGGGTTCTGTGAGGACAGCAGACTAAGATGTTGATCTTGTGAGTGGAGGGTTCTATGAGGGCAGCAGACTAAGATGTTGATCTTGTGCGTGGAGGGTTCTATGAGGGCAGCAGACTAAGAGGTTGATCTTGTGAATGGAGGGTTCTGTAAGGACAGCTGACTAAGATGTTGATCTTGTGAGTGGAGGGTTCTATGAGGGCAGTAGACTAAAATGTTGATATTGTGATTGAAGGGTTCTGTGAGGGCAGTAGACTAAGATGTTGATATTGTGAGTGGAGGGTTCTGTGAGGGGTAGTAGACTGGTAGGAGTCCCCTAGGTATCATTCTGCAAGATGGTTGTATGATTTGTAAGCCACGGGAAGGATCTTGAAAACCACACGTGAAGCCACACAAACCACACGTAGCTTTCCAATACTGTGGAGATTGTAATTGGCACACTGGGTCAAGTGGAGTTTCATGTTCATATGCTGGTCAAATATCACTCCCAAGTTGTTAACTTTGTGAGATGTACAAAAGTTCAGCTGAATTCTAGCCAAATGTCCAACACATGTTGTTAAAAAAAAGTATACGTGCTAATTGCAGCGTTTGTGTTTGTTGTTTTCCGCAGTATTCTACCTGTGTGACGGTAGCACATGATGTGACTGTCTGCAAATTCAAAGTACATAATATGTGTTTACCAGTTATGCAATATACAAGTATATGAGGAGACAATGTCTGAGTGCTACACATGTTACAGCAGCTAGGCCTAATCTTGACATATTGCATGGTACACAGCTCCTTTACTGCAGGGTCCACAACTACAGGTCAGACAGATCCATGTAAGAGCTACACACCGCTTAAGAACATCGAGAATCGCGACCCCAACACACCAGGATTTCCACCCTTATCGACGACTACAAACTAAGGTCTGGTTGGTATGCGGCCCCGAGAAGTGGGAACTGCTGGACCGGGCTCCAAGCTTCTTTCGGTGTGGCACCCACATCCCAGTTTACAGAATCTGTAAGATCGTCGCCCCTCACTCTTCGCAACTGCATGTAGACACAGGGCGTTGTTACATTATAAGTTGTTCACTGGTCACGAGGGGGGTATGGGTTCGGGCTCAGGGAACATAAACAAACATCGAGGGTACATCAACCCATGGGCCCCGAGGGACCAGTGAACAACGTATTTATCTTACCGAACACCTCAATGTTAATTTTGAATTGTTTGAGGCACGGGTACAAATCTTTTTGTAGCAATCGCTAGATTTTGCTGACAAGAAAAACAGATTAGAGTTACCTCCCTTCCATCAATTGGCATTCGCAAAACATCGGCAATTTCCGTACACCATACGTGATTCAATGTTATTCGAAATAAAGAATTACTATCATGAAGTACCAAATGAGTTGCCATTTACAGCGGGGTACATTGAAATGTTACTCGCTTGTAAGCGGGGTACATTGAAAATAATAGAAGAGCGCTCAGCCAATCAGAAAGCGACATTTATGTGTAAGGTAAGATAATGTGTGATGGTGTGTGATATCAGAGGGTGATATATGGTTCCATGGTGTGTTGGTGTTTGTTAAGGAGGCATGTTGTGGCATTATGTGGGTGTCTGTGATATCACAGGGTTGCATGCAGTTACATGGTGTG